ACCAGGCTTTGGTGCTTTTGGCAGTGTGGGCAGGTGCCAAGTCCTGCTGGAAAATTAAGTCAGCATCCCCATAAAGCTCATCTGCAGAAGGAAGCATGAAGTGCTCCAAAATCTTAATGAAGCACAGTGGACCAACAACAACATTTAGCTCCCCAAATCAACACAGACTGGAAACTTCACACTGGACTTCAAGCATCTTGCAGTGTGTGCCTCTCCATTCTTCTTCCAGACTCTGGGTCCTTGGTTTCCAAATGAGATGCAAAAGTTGCTCTCATCAGAAAAGAAGACTTTGGACCACTGAGCAACAGACCAGGTCTGTTTTTCTTTAGCCCAGGTAAGACGCTTCTGACGTTGTTTGTTGTTCAGGAGCGGCTTGACAAGAGGAATACAACATCTGAAGCCCATGTCCAGGATCTTTCTGTGTGTGGTGGCTCTTGATGCACTGACTCCAGCCTCAGTCCACTCCTTGTGAAAGTCCCCAACACTTTTGAATGGCCTTTTCCTGACAATCCTCTCCAGGCTGCGGTCATCCCTGCTGCTTGTGCACCTTTTTCTTCCACACTTTTCCCTTCCACATAACTTTCTATTAATGTGCTTTGATACAGCACTTTGGGAACATCCAACTTCCTTCGCAATTACCTTTTGAGGCTTTCCCTCTTTATGGAAGGTGTCAATGATGTTTTTTTTGTACAACTGTCAGGTCAGCAGTCTTCCCCATGATTGTGATTCCTACTGAACCAGACTGAGAGACCATTTAAAGGCTCAGAAACCCTTTGCGGGTGTTATGGCTTACTTAGCTGATTAGAGTGCGACATTGTGAGCTTAGAATATTGTACCTTTTCACAATATTCTAATTTACTGAGATTGTGGATTTGGGTTTTTCATGAGCTGTAAGCCATAATCATCGCACTTATGACAAATCACGGCTTGAACTATCTTGCTTTGCATGTAATGCGTCTATCTCATATATTAGTTTCCCCTTTTCCCCTTTTATGTTGCATTACTGAAATAAATTAACTTTTCCATGATATTCAAATTTTTTGAGTATCACCTGTATATATAAAAATATATATAATGCATATAAAATACGCAATCCAGCGCACTCGCTTATTCACTAAACAATGATTCCAAATCTTACAGATTGTAATAGTTTTAATTTAAAAACACCTTACCAAGGCAAAAAATAATGGGGGTTTAATTACATTATATGATCATATATTGCATAAACCTGCCACAACGTCAATGTACCCCATTCTTTGCAGGTCCTACTTTAGCAGCCTAATGCTTGCAGCACCTTATAATGTATGCATGTGTAGGGGAATGCAGTCCTCTTGGTTTAATTTATATATATATATATTTATATATATACTACATATTACTTTTTGATGTGCATTAACTTATGTAGTAGTGAACAAATCATATACCAGTTGTGTAGCTAAAAAAGTTTATTAAATCATGTATACATTAAGAATACCTTGGGTACAGTTTAATAGCCCAAGTGTGAAATCAAAGGGAGGTGCAAGGGGTTTAGAGTCACATACCTATGCAGAGTACGTACCTAGCTTTCCACCACATAGATCAATTTTTGGGTACTTATTATTTGTTTAAAAATAATGAAAATTGGCTGTATCTTTTGTATTTTGTGTCTGTTACATGTGTTTCTTTACATAGAATGTAATGGCAGTGTCCTCTTAACAGATGCCAGTTCCTAAAGCTATAGCTATATAATGTAAAATTAAGATAAATTATATAACTAGAAACTTTATAAGCTGTTAGCACTTACCTACTATCCACATGCAAATTCCCATGAAATGGCATCTCATTCATATATTCACATAACACGTAATAGACACACTTGCTAGAGAATAACACAGCAACTACAGTGCATATGCTGTAGTTGCAGTGACAGAGAGCAGGCAAATTGCCTGTAGAAAGGTTCTCCTGCTTTCCCATTATTCAACCGTGCCAAAAAAAAATAATTGACAGGTGAAGGAGAAGAGCATATGTTCCTTCAAGCACAGTTTACAGATCAAATTATTTAGACTTTAATTATAGGTAAAGTTATGTGTACCATGACAGGTACTCTTAAGTCTGTTAAAATTTACTGTGTGATAAATAAGAAAATATATCTGTTATGATTGTTTAATCAATGAAAGTTAACATTTAATAAATTAATTCCCTGGATTCACATCCTTATATAATGTGCTGCACTGTGCTATGCATGTAATTCATAAACCCTCTGGAATCTGTGGCCAAAAGATAAATAAGGTTGATCACTGCACATCCCTGGTCATAACTTTCCTGTTCTATTTTCATCATTGCATTTAATTTTACGCTTGGTCTCTCATGTGTAGTTACATTGCCTAGGGATAAGTGGCTTGTTTTACAAATTGTGACGGACGTTTACACACTGCCACTATTCCCAAATATAACAGTTTTTATCGTTCACAAAAAGGATGTGGCATTATCCTAAAATGTCACGTTACACTGCAGTTCCATTTAATTGTGTCCTTTGTGAATTGAAAGGCTACATGTGTTATATAAGTATTATTGATGATGTTCCCAGCATGCTCTTTAACATTTATGGTCATAGATAATCCGTCATTATGGAGTAGAGGCCAAATCAAATCCTATGGTCCCATTCTGTCTTATAGGAGCCTTTTTAAGAAAAAGTAACATCTGAACAATCCTACTGCCAGGGCAAGATTTACATCTCAGGAGCTTGTTGGCCCTGGACTCATGAGTTTTCCCATAATACTGATCTATTAAAAAAATATAAATGTTTAGTAGGAATTGAGACAAGCTAAATTATATGGCCTTATAGATTCCAGGATTTGTATAGCAAATACATACTCTGTCGTGCAGAATTAACACATCTACACAGCACCCTAATAGCAGAGGCACCCACTATCACACAGCACCTATATGTTCACCCTACAGCACCTACCAAAGATCAAGGTTTTGCAATGGGTGTGATCTACTTGTGCTTTGCTAAAAAATGTTTTTTGTTTGTTTTACAAATTAGGCTGTACAAATTCCTGAAAAAATACAACATTTTTGCTCTCTTAACCTACAGCATGTAAAATGCATCTCTACTGTTTGATTGATCACCTGTCAATCCACTGAAAATTCTTGTATTAATCAATGCAAAAATCAATACGTCAATTTTAGCCATAGTTCTTAGATATTTAAGCTTCTCTATCTCCCAGGACTTATTGTGAGTACGAAGAGACTTAATTAACTTTCTTGATATCATACCAGTTATTTCTGCAAAGGATATTTGAATCCAGCAGTAAATATCTAAAAACCTGAAAACACTATTTATTTAAAACAAAATCAATTTCTAGCCCTATGGCATGTTGTCTCTGGAGGAAACAAAAAAAACAGAGGGTTCAATAATATGAAGACATTTAAAAGGCATCATTTATATCTTGAAATTAACATTACAATCTAGATCAAATTAGTTTTGACCATTACCGGTTAATGGTAAATTGATCAGGATGGAATTTAAAAAATGTTTCATCTTTACTTTTTCAAATAAATGATTATCACTATGATGCATTGCATCTGATCATATTCCCTAGATGTCATTGAAAATTAATTTTTTTTATTTTTTGATCTTAGAGTTAGTTAATTATATTTCCTTTACAGACAGACAGAAAAACTGTTAGTACTGTGAAACGTTCAGAAATAATTTTTATTTAACAAGGATTTAAAGAATTTTAAATAGCAAGGAAACATTAATTTTAATGACAGGCACTGTAGTGGAAAATAAAAGCAAAAAGAAAAAGTCAATTTTTAAAATGATTGGTCTTAAAATGTATACCACACACAGAGAAATTGAGGCCAAAATGATTAATGTGCTTAGTTTGAATTTATAATTAATAATATTATTATTATTTTTTAAAATCTGATAAGTTGACCACCCTGAAATGTTGATCTGGTGTTATTAAATAGTATCTGAATCTGCTTGTAAGCTAGTTCTCTCCTATTTATATCTGTGGTACTATGATTAAATGACTACTGCAGCATGTCTCGTTTATTTAAATTAAAATATCCTTTTGCATATTTTTTTAAAGGAGGGAAGAAAATGCTTCCTTCTAAAACTTTGTGTAAATTAGATATAAGGATAATTTATGAGGCTACATTTACCTTCTTGGTTGTTAAAATCTATTTGAGAATCTAGGAGTATTTAGTTCAACAGAATTTGGCACATCACCTCCTTAAAAGTTAAATGGGGTGAGAGTTACAAAATTAACAGGATGGGCTAGAAACAGAATAGACTGTTAGATATGGAGTTTTGAGGACTCTGCTGTGGTTGTAGGTAACAGCTACCCACTTACTATTTTAATATTTAGAACTAGACTTGGAGATTAGTTTCCAGGACGAATTGCAAATTTGGGCATGTTGGCTGAAATTCCCATTTTCCAAACTGACACGTGCCAAAATTTAGGAAAATCCAACTGTAGCATACTAATCCCAAGATGGGAATCCTGAGAGTCCGAACACCTGATCCTCAGCCATGCTTTTGACAGGCATCTAATAGCAGCATACACCCTCCCCGCCGTGCCACTCATGTCCTCCCCTCAGTACCTGCTCCCCCTGCATCTCTCCTCCAGTGACTAGGGAAAGTGACATCAATGGAGGTGGATCAGGCTGAGGGGAGAACTTGGCCTTGGCCTTGGCTTTTTTTTTTGTTAGAGAGTGGGGGCAGGATATGAAGAATTACTCTAACCAAACTCATTGTTTTCTTCAAACAGATGATTTTGGTTGGATAAACCCTTTTACATGATCACAGTAAATCCAGATAAGATTTATTGACACATTATTGGAGCAAAAGGACTTGTTTAACAGAATTAATGAATACTCCAAAGAATTATCAAACTAATAATGGATTGCACATGACCAAAATAAACCCTAAATACATTTTAACTGTTTTTTTGTAGGTGAGAATTATCATAGTGCTATCCACGGCTCCCAAGATACTGTGACAAACTTACCTGCTCCATGCACCTGGGCTGCTTACCTTTTCGGGCTGCACTGCTCTCCTCTTCAGGTCAAGTGGATGCTCCACGCAGCATTCTGAAATAGCGAAGGCGGTTATAATTTGGCGCCAGCGAACCGCTCCTCCTGGTTCACAGACAGCCTCTTGATCCCTGCAATTTTTTGGAAGGAGCCCATCTGAATGGTGCATCCTTATGTAGCTCCAATTATGTGATGTTACACCCACCCTTAAAGTGACTATATCACTTAGGCAACCCCATTATCGTATGTTTTGGAGTCTCAGAGATTACATGGATCAATCAATATATGTGAATATGTATGTCTATATAATGCTTATTTGGACACTTATATAGTGCCCTATTGTGGATTCTGCCCTGATACACGTTTAGTGCTTATACTAAGTCTATCTTGATATCTTGACATTGACATTGGCTTGTATTTTACTTTGTGTATTTCTGGTATCCCTACCTGGCTTGTTCATTTGTTTATCCATAATTCTAATATCCGGAATTTGGCTATTACTGACTTCGTCTTTATCTTTTTTACATTAAGTCCAGCCATTCTAAGGCCCCGTAATATGTCTATTTGGCATCTTTGTTTGTGGGATTTGTCATTTGATGTAAGTAAGGGTACGAAGCCGTGACAGATACACGGTATACCACATTATTGGATTCCTTGTTGACAATCTTCAACCTGTGATGTAATCTGAAAACTGTCAAAATCATCAGTTTGTTTTGCCATCTCAGTAACCAATCTCAAAATCCTGTGATTAATGTTAACAGCAAACATTAAACCCAGCAATAAAATTCAAGTTATTTCTGCAAAGTGATTTATTATGGGCACTGTAAACCTGTAACATATATTGACCACACATTTGTACATCATCTTCTCCCATCATTTCTACAAATGTAAATGATATATTAATGCCCACACACGTTCTTTCTTCACCTTTCTAATGCCAGTTAATGTCATTATTACTCCTTTCCTCTACATAATCACCTCTCCCCAGTAGGGTCACGCTTTCATGGGTTTTCAGTACATGGTAGTTCTCATATTCAGTGTCTACTAGGTTTTTTGGGAGTTGACTTTATGTTTGACTATCCTGTCCTCTATTTTCTGACTGTCATGACAGCAAAGTATAGGTCAGTTCCATGCTAAAGAAGATTGCAGTACAAAAGATGTAAACACATAACAACAGATCTTGGCTAAGCTTTGATGGTTAGAGAGAAAATAGACATATCAGGTCCGTTAACCAGTCAAGGCTAGGTCACCAGAGGATGGATGCCAA